TGTACCTGACGTCATCACAATGAGCCCTCTGCCTGAAGTTGCCAGAATTTTCGCTGTAGCTCAGTGTCACGTTAATGTCGGTGCCAGCTGGTGCGTCGTGCAAAAATTAACTTTACTGTTAAGATATATATTCTCCATTTTCTTGGCTTCACGCTTGGTCAGAGAAGTCCATGTATACAAGAGGTTTTATGAAATGTAAAGTCAAACTCAAAGGTTCGCCTTTATACCCTTTTAAATGTGCCCAAACCACACAATTGTATATCGCAATGTTTTCCTCATTGCCCCGTTCGACTGCCTTATTTCTTCTGCAGAGCTGGTTGGCATCGTGGCAGCAGCCTACGCTGATGATCAGAATTCTGATGATGACGACCGCCTGTATGCTGTCGAAGTAACGAAAAAGACTCGCGAGGCGAAGTCAGACCGGCGTTTTACCTTCTGCTGCAGTAACATTCCCGCAACGGTCGTCGCGGTGACGGCTTATTGTAGACTATTTCAGCAAATCCCAAGAAACACATCTTATTTGTCTCCGAGTAAACACTATTGATCTTAGTATTAAAATGTTGGAAGTATTTTCACTGTCATTATGCTATTTGTCCGGCGTACGCACATAACATTTAGCGCAATAACTTTTGGTACTTCCATAGACGCATGCGGCCCGTGTGCTCAGATTTGGGTGCACGTTAAAGAACCCCAGGTGGTCTAAATTTCCGGAGCCCTCCACTACGGCGTCTCTCATAATCATACAGTGGTTTTGGGACGTTAAACCCCACATATCAATCAATCAATCAATCAATCCATAGACGCATGCACTGAGGTCGTCCATTCGTCTTTGAAAAAAGGTCTTCAAAGGGAATACGAATATACCATTTAAATTTACTGCGCACATTTTGAGAACTTTTGTGAGTTGGAACAGCATGTAGTGGAACGTTAAAGTAGCATGTTGTGGTTATGCAGAATAACAGTGCAAACACTCAAGGGATGGGGCCCGAGGTGAAAAATATTTACTGATGACGCTAGCCAGATTTCACTGCCCGAGATAATATTTTTTTTTTTGGGGGGGGGGGGAGGGGGGGAATTATAGGCCAAAATAATGTTGTGAAGCGTGCCACACAGGGGAGGGCTCCTGTTAATTTCGATCGCCTATACTGTTTTTAACGTGCGCATACAGTACACAGGGAACTCTTATAACGTGTCGCGTCCATAGAAATGCGAGTGGCACTGCTGGAATCGAACCGGCGTCTTTCGATCGGGTCGGTAGCAGAGCGCTGCAACCACGTACTGCGCCGGCATGCGCATCTTGAAAGTCGACGGACGTCCGTGTATACCAGCGTACGAGCTTCGCTTCCAGCGTGTATAGACATATTGCCGTGCCTGCCGGCTTTTACGAGTCGTGGGCGTCGTCGTGTATATTTATACACCCGCGCGCGTGCGCCCGTACTCGCGGCGTATAGCATTAGCAGATGACCGCGTTGGCCGCCAGGGCCCTCACCTTGCATCTCGTTCTTTTAGAGCCACTCATGAGGTACTCTGCCCTGGCTTTAGCAGCCGCGCGCGTCTGTAGGCTGCCTGCTGTGCGTATACCAGCGTGCGGTATACACCACCAGACACCCGCGTATTACGGTAATCGCGGCGCTTTTCGCGCGTCTCATGCATGAAAGAACAATACCGGTGGTGCCCTGCTGCCGCACACGCGCGCCCAGTCCGTGCCCCCAACCACACACACTGATGCACATGCACAATTTCACCTCAGCCGCATCCACGGTGCGTGCCGCGCGCGAGTGCCTCTTTAGGCATTTAGGGCGCGCGCGCTCACCGCCCTGGTGATTCGGCGCGGATGCGATTCTGGTCGCATCATGCCGCGTGCGTCGTCTCCGTCTTTTCTCTATTCCGCCGTTCTATTTATAACGCGTGACACAGCCCGTGACAACAACGAGAAGAAAGATGTAAAGAGAAATGAGGGGCGGGCAATTAAATTTACCCTCGCACGAAGAGTTCGGAGCTCCGCGCCTCTCGGCCGGGCACTCCCTCTTCATGGTCGCATCGGAGCAGGTAGCGGTTGACCGCGCGGGGTTATCTATAGGTGGCCCTGCTGATTCCACTCCAATGCCGCTGCTGACCTACATGTTTTGTTGACTGGCTGCGCGCGACGACGCTTCTGCCTTCGAGCGACCGAAATCAAGTCTTCCTCGTGCGGGCCCGCCTTTCTCCTTTGTCATCTGCGCGCGCTCGTTGTGTTCGGGTGCGCGGCGTCGCCCTGTAAAACACAAAGCGGTGCCCGCCGCCGAAAGCTTCTATCAAGATGTTCGCGGTCTGGTTGCGGCAGCCGGGAATTAATTTCCTCGCTCTTTGTCGAGCATCTGTGGTCAGTGTCAGGAAAAAATGAAAGCTGTCGGCGCGATTGAAAAGTTTGCCTCGGTGACGCCCCGCGCGTATGTACTGCAAGCAGCATCGTTGTGTGTGTGCACATTGGGAGCTTGAGATTGTTGCGTTGGCGTATAGTCCAAGCACTCCCATTTTCTCTTTTAGTTATCCTCATTTCTTACAGGAGGTTCCCTTTGGCTATTCTCTGTCTCATTGCTTTTTCTCCAATGATTCTGTGGGTCGCGTCTTGCCATTCTGCACAAACCACTACTCGTACTATACTATTTGTGGAGCTTCTCGGCAAGGATTCGGTCCTGTCGCAACATAAGTGTCACCGATTGTCTCCGCCGCTATTGTCGCTGTTCACAAACTTGTGACGATTCACTTTTCGCCGCATTGCGACGGTGCGCGTTGTGCTTTCTCTCATTCTCTCTCGCACGCGCACACACAAATTCTCTCTCTCTCTCTTTCTTTCTCTCTATCAAGACATATCAGATGAGGATACAAGCAGGGCTTAGTTACCATGCTGCTCTTTTTTAATATTTGTCTGTTTTGCTTTGCAGTGAACTGCAACGTACAAGGTGTTCAAAAGTTTGCAGGCCGTGGTGCCATGCTAATACAGCGTAGAGTGGCCTGGGAACTTTTGAATACCCCTGCACATCTTGATCATCTACTTATCGAGCTAAACTTTGCTCATCGTGATAGAAAAAAAAACGAGAATATGAGAATCGGATGAATAGACGTACCTCGCCAATATTTGAAACAATAACTCGTGTAAAACCTAATATTAATAGCTAAGCCACCTTATTGTTGTTTTAAATGTAGAAAGGTGGCAGGGTATTCTCACCGTAATGGGAGCTGTAGATCTTTTTTTCTTAAAGGGTCAGCTGTACCGAGAGGACATGCTCACTAAGGGTTAATCGAGAAGAGAAATCAAAGAAGTCATCTTGTGGAATTCCGTGAGATCTTTAGCCATCCTGCATCAGCACAGTTGAAGCCGCAGAAAGTGGCTGAAAGTCGCGTGAGCGTACCGCGGGGAGTTCGTTGCTCCGTGCGTCGATCCACTTCACACTGCAGCTGTACGTTTCCTTATTGTTCTTACTCTGCAAAACGGGCAGAAAGGCGGTCTTCTTTCGTGTCCCCCCCCCCTTTTTTTCTGGTTCCCTATTGTAAGTGTCACCTTCCTTTTTTTTTCGGTCTTTCTGTCGAGGGACCCTAAACTACCTGTGATAATTTTTTTGACGCGTAATTCACATGTCACCCACAAAATAACGTGATTGTCTGCTCGGAGGCGCGGGGGTTCGCCTCTCTTCCTCCCCCTATATATTGTTATTTAGGAGCCCTTTAAATAGTTGCTTCTAAAAATACCGACACAATTTCGAGACATCTCAAAAGTGGCATTTTTCGTTTTTGTGGGACGCTTTCTACACGCCGGAGTCGAAGAACACGTATACAATACAAACTATATTACCTTGATCTTTTCGTCGCTGAGCATCTGCAAACCAGCCCCACTGCAATGTGCATAATCCCGATGGATCAACAGGGAGTTTGCGAAGTATGCGTGCTGCATGCATGTCTAAATCGCATAAATAACTGTCGGGATTACGGGACGGCAGTGCACTAATCGTTTTGTTTCAGTGCATCACATACAGATGACAGATCTACCGCTGTACGTAGTACACCGCGATTCGCCGTGTCCCCGTGACGTCACACTGCGATGACACGTCACTGAAAAACCGCCCCCCCCTCCCCCAATATAGAAACCGGAAGTGATTTTTAAGGGTTGCGGTAATAAAAATATATTCGTATATGATTCCTACGCGTTACAGTGCTCTCTACATGGTTTTTGGCACCATTGTATTCCTTGAGAGCACCATTTGAAAATCCTGCAATACCTTGAAATTGTGCCATTCGTGCATGTGGCCAGTTGCAGTATGCACAATGACTGGTCTCGTGCAAAAAGCCAACCAAGAAGACGGTGGACTAGGGGTAGTAGTTACTGTCTTGACTGGTTTTCGCCTTAGCGTCACGTACCAACTGACCCAGTCTTTGGCCTTGTTGGTCTCTCTTACTTACGCTTCACTATTGAATTGCGGGGTTTGTTAATTTCTGATCAGAACATATCGCGACGTCGGCTTGACCGTAGTCGGCTCTCATGTGCATACGTCTCTTGGATGCAACGACTTGTTCTTCCGATATATTAGCCATGCGGGGCACGTCATTGACCAATGCGGTTGCATTAATACAAGAATAAATAATTAAAACGTGTGCTTTGTACAAATGTCATCCTCTGACGGTTACGATCCGAAGTAGCAGTCTTTTGCAGCGTCTCCTTGCACATCACGGGGGGAGTGGAGGAGGGAGAGAACCAAGAAGGAAAGATATGGAGTCGCACAGAAAAAGAGTGCTCTCTGAAAACAAAAAGAAAAAAAATACCCACTTCAAATCTTTTGGTAATATGTCAAAGTGACGTGGGGCATACTTGCATGTGTGTTTGCCTCGAGAGAGGACTTTCTCTGTTCACTTATTTGGTGCGGTGTCTGTGCTATGTCGAGTGCCAACACGTAGCCGCACGCCGCCTCCTTCACGAAAATCATAACCAAGCTCTTCACGCCCTCCCCCCTCCCTTTTTTTCGCAGGATGCCGGGTATGGAACCAGCAGCGCTGACACCGTGGTCCCGTCGCTCAGGCCGGATGCGGCGGCGTCAGCTGCAGCGGCACCGGGAAAGCCGCTGAATTTGGTAAATGCACTCGTGCGCTAAAATATTCTGCCTATGTTGCGCTCTATGGGTATACGGATGCTCCAATAACGCATCTAGTTCCGGTAGGCGTTATAAATTATGCAGTGGTAGACTTTGTTTATTGTAATGAATGCCATAGCTTAGGCAGCATATTTATTTGTCAGTTTTCTACAATAGCGCAGGCTCTCATGTGGTGTTGCAGGGAGTGGAATGGAAAAATGCCCCCACCTTCCCGAAGGGAGTCGTGAGGAAATGCGAATGAATTGCGTACCGTCTATTATGGTGTTTCGCACGTGAGAACCCAGAGTTAGAAGAATAATGCTTTTTTTTCTTACACTGTGCACCCACGCGTGGCCTTTTTCTCTCACGAGAAACACGGTATGCGTTTCCAGCTCTAGTAGCTAGCGTGCACGGTTAAAGAGTACGACGAAGTGAACAGAATGAACAGCGTTCTCGGCTCGGCGTTGGTGTTTCACAGCGGCGGCTCGAGCACACATTTACGGTTGTTCTTGAGAGGCGCCCAGCCAGCGAACGGTCGACAGTGAGGCGTGAGCGGACGGGAAAGTGGGGTGCAAAGAGAAGAGATTACGAACCACGAGAGAAGGAGTGGCGGAGCGCTGCCCTTACCTTCTCCTACAATCTCTCGCACCACAAGCTCCAGTTGCTAGGGGCGAGGATAAGTGCGCCCGCCCACAGCTGTTGCTATGGGAGAGGGCGGTGGACGGACCCCGATGGACGCCTGACTTGGCCCGACTAAGAAATGAATTTGCATTAGAAACTTTGTTTAGGAACTTGTGGGACATGAACTAGCCCTTCGCGCGCTTCTCCCACGTGGGCACATGGGTGGGAAAATAATATACAATACCGTGCAGAAAATCGTTCCACAAGTTGATGAAAAGCTTCAGGCTATCGACAGTCCACAAGTACACTTCAATCGCGAGCTTGTTCCATTCGGTAATTGCTCGTGGCGGCAAGGATAATTCGAATGCAGGAGCTTTGTAGCATAGTGTGAAATAGCAAGCTGGCATTCACGCTCGCGAAAGTTGTATTTTGTGTCTTCCGCGGTTTAAATTTAATTCAATAATGCATCTATTCTATGCTGAAAGCTTGAAAGTGGGAATAAAAAAATAATGCGAGTAATCTCACTTTCATCTCATTCAATATACCACCAATTAAGGTTGAGCTATGGTAACGCTTGAAGTGAGCAATATGGAACAATGCCTTTGGGTAATTGCGTTTCGCATATTTTTTCCGAACCAACAGTGGAAGTGAACAACGTGCATCACGTCACGCATGTCGTTCGTAGTCACGCACGTTGCGTAGTTAGCTGGTTGTTGTACTTTACCGTATAGCACAACCGGCTAACTATGCATGACCTCTCACGAGTCTCGATTTCTTGTTTTTCGCGATCAAAGATTGTGGTGACGAACGCCTTTTTACATACTTTAGTGAATAAATGGTAATAGAGGTAACTAAATCTTCGTGCTGTATTCTGTGTTCACTTCTCGAGTACGTGTTGCGAGTTAGTACGTAACTGTTAGCGTGACGCAAGGAAAGAAATGTTCTGCGCTAACAATACCACAGTAAAACACATAGTAGGCCATGGGTAGGCCAAGAAAATAACTCGACACATTGGCGCACCCGGGAATCTCTTCTGTTAGTGCATAGCTTGTAAAGAGTGAGTAACACTCATTGAGAGTATAGTCTCCTTGGCAGTTACTGACATTTTACATTTGTGAAGTGCTCATCATCTGATTTTGGACTTGTTGGTACATTAAATCCCGATATCTAGCGCACAACACAAGACAATAACTGAGTGACTCGGTCCTTGTGCAGTGTTGTGTGCTAGATAGTGATGTGATTATCAATATATCTGGACGCTTTCACGCACCAGATGCTAAGTTGCTCAAGTGCGTTCCTTTGTTTTCTTTTTCTTTTTGTCCTTGTTGTGTCCGGGTGGCAGGCATATCTTGCTCACCCTGTGCTCACTGAGCGCTCGCTTCAAAGTAATGGTCATTCCTCTTTATACTCTATATCGTAATATTTATATTATCTTGGCCCCTAAACAAACCAGTAGAGCGCACTTTTTTCCGCATGAAAGCAACCAAATGTGCCTTGGTGTTTTTTTCTTTTTTGTTTTCGTTTTTCTCTACTAAGGTAGAATAACGGATTGAATGTTGTCCTTATTATTTGTGATCAGTAGGTAGTACCGCTAGCATTGGCGCTGAACTTAGAAACCAAGCAGAAGTTTCGAATGGTGGTGCGAGCAGTAGGCATATGCGCCTTATCTTTTTTCTCTCTCTCTCTGCGAAAATGAACGAGCTGATTAAGGCCCAGGACCTGACTTCTCAAGCCCTGACCGTCCGGAGGGCCCGCGCGATTAAATGTGACCGTCCCCGAGTGGGCCTAGCCAGGTGACGTTGAGTGAACTCGCGTCCATTGAGGACCTAATAAAGTTCTTTCACTTGCTCGCTCTCTCTCTTTTCCTTTACATGCCCTCAGAAACGCAGGCACAGAAAAGAAAGAAAAAAAAAGCCAACGTATTAGTGTGCACATATTCGCCAGTTGTCACACAGGTCCCGTTTATTAGGGAGGCGATCGCCGGGCTAATTCCAAGAGCCGAAGTATCGACTCCCCGAACCGCACCACGAAAGCGTGGACATTTAGAAGTGGTCCTTTTTGGCGCGCCAGCGGACGCCGGCTGTGGCCCAAAGAACAAGACAGAGCCCGAGAGTTGATAAACAAACAAATTATATTCTCAATAATGGCAGATCGAAAACAATACACAAAAAATGCACACTCCACAATAGTTGCATACAATATGTCACCAATCAAACCAATCAACCAACGTACTACACAATACAATCAGCCACACTCAAAACAACGGACACAGACAACAATACGCACTACAATGCAGTCACATGCATTGAACAACCAAGACACTTAAGGACTAAAGAGATAGAAAACCTATTCAGTCCAAAGTCCTTGGAACAAAAGTCTGAATGATACTCTTCCGAGAATCACTCACTCAAAGTCCAGCGTTGCTGTCGTTCCGTAGCTCTCGAAGTTTCTCTTCCAGGAAACCTCGCGTCCTCAAATGGCCACTCTCCAAGCTTCAAGCTTCTTCGCCGGAAATCCGTCGGCTTCACACACGCAGCTGTTGCCCGCGTCTTCGCTCGATAGCGGTAAACCCACGCTCTTGCCTGTAGCTCGAGCCGTCCCTACGGACCAAAAACTTCGCCGACTACACGGCGGAATCTCTACGCACTCTGGCGCTCACTTCCGTCTCCTCCTGTTCTGTCACTACGGGCAGAACCTTCGCCGACTACACGGCGGAATTCCTACGCGCTCCGGCGCTAACTTTCCGTCTTCTCCTGATTTCTCGTCTCGGCCGCTCGATTAAATACGTTCCGCGCCATCTTCCAGAACGTTCTCCTCATTTCGTCGGCGCGACGCGCAGCGAAGGCTGGGGAGAGGCACGAGACGGTTCGACTGCCCTCTCCGGAGAATGATTCACTCGGTCTGACCCCGCCTCCTTCGTTCTAGAAAAATCGCGGCCTTGCTGGGCCGCCGATGTGGGTGAGAAGGATCGTCTGCGAAGCCGTGCTTCTGCGGGGAGAGCGCGCGCCCGGGAGCCCTGGATGTTTGCTTTCTTTTTTTTTTTCTTTTACCTCGCGGCGTTTTCTGCCGCCCGTTGTCGCAAGGATTTGGCGGCGCGCTCTTGTTTAGCGCTCGTTCTGTGACACTGCCCCCCACTTTAAGAATATTATCTCATAATATTCAAAACCACACAAACGAGCGCGAACAGTCACCACACACTCTCACAGACTGTAACACCATCAGTCGCTCATGACACTTCACATTCACAACATATCACTCAATACGATTGGACATTACATTCAATCTCACACACATGAAATATTACCTCAGGTATATGACTACAACACTTCATCACATATTCCAAACAATACAAACGTACAAGGTTCGGTCTTTACAACGATTATACAACACTATACATCACATCACAGCACAACACTTCGACTCGCTCGACATACACTTGAGACACAGGATAACAAGAACATTAACACAACATATGGCACTCAGCACTGCCCAACACATTCTGATTCCACCTCAGCACCTATCCTGTGTACTTTGAGAGGCGCTTGCGCCCTTTCTTGCGGTGCTCGCTCGATTTCTTCTTGTTTTTCCACGTTCCCTTTCCGCGAGCCCTTTCCAACGACGATATCTGAGGCGGCGTCTCAGCCATCGTTGTCACTTCCGACACCGTTAACGCGTCATTACATTCGACGGGTCCTGTCTGTTTATTTACCCGCTTGATAATGCCTCTACATTTTGCCCGGCTGGCCAACTCCGTCTCCTTTACACTGTCGGTCGGTTGAGGTCGTGCCGACGTAAGTCCAGTTGCTCGGCCCGTGAACTTATTCGACACGATCGTCTTCTCATTCGCTGTCTCTTGGGCCGCGGCTTCACCTTGGGCTCTAGTGAGATCCGTCACGGGCTGCTCCTCAACTGTATCTCGCGGCCGCTGTGTTGGCGAGGGCTCTATCTTCGGGTCTTCTCCCAAACATTCTGGATCACTCGGCCCTCGCGCCCCGTCGATGTTTCCGATGACAAGGTCATACAGGGGGGTCGTCATGCATAAAGCAGTAACCTTCCCGCTGAAGTACGGGGTTTCAACCTCAATTTCTGCTTCGGGAAGCATCCGAACCGTACGGTCAATTAGGCAAACCGGTTTCGTTCTGCCTGTCAACTCACTTTCCCGTACCAAATTTCTCCGCACGATAACCGTGGAGCTACCGGTGTCTCTTAACACCGTAATCTTTTTGTCCGCAACTTTTCCAGGCAGCGTTGGCATTCCTTTCGTAACACCGGTTGGCTGTTTTGACATTACAGCACCCACAATAGGAATTTTCTCCCCAATTTTTCAATTCTACGAATCCGTCGGTGACGGCATTATTATCGGATTTCGGTGCCACTTG